AGATGGAGACAGCCCAGACTTGTGACCTGAGACAGCTTTTCATCCTTGCCTGTCCTTCCCCAGCACAGAGCAGGAGGGTGGGGCCGGTCTCCCCATGCCCGCTGAGGGTCCGCAAAGAGCACCCAGTTCTCGGGAGAACTGCAGCACGTCCACAACTGTATGTATGAGCTGGAAATGCGGTCTGCCTCCCGGGTGCCTCCTCTCCACTGTTGATAAAACTGATGAAGCCCTGGCGACTGAATTTCCAAGTGTAAAAGGAAAGCAGGGCTGTGATCAAACTAAGGTATAAACCATTGCCCACGGGTGTGCATTTACCCCTTATACACATTACCCAGACAGCTAGTCCACAGAGGGGCCACGGAAATTCTTCTTCTTTTATCCTAAGCCGTGGATATGTTTATTGATTTGAGAAAGAAGAAGAAGGAGGAGGAGGAGGAGAAGGAGGAGAAGGAGGAATTCCCGAGAGGGGCCACGGAAATTCTTCTTTTATCCTAAGCCGGGGATATGTTTATTGATTTGAGGGAGGAGGAGAAGGAGGAGGAGGAGGAGGAGGAGGAGAGGGGAGAGAGAGAGAGAGAGAGAGAGAGAGAGAGAGAGAGAAACATCATAGGTTGCCTCCTGTACATGCCCCAACGGGGAATCTAACCCACAACCTAGGTATGTGCTCTGACTGGGAATCGAACCCCCAAACTTTCGTTGTATGAGGACAACACTCCAACCAACTGAGCCACCCAGCCAGGGCCTACAGAAATTCTTATTTGCAATTTGGAGCCACGGAATTTCATTAGTTCATTGGCTAAATCACAGATGGTGAGACATTTGCATGGTTTCCCTGGGTGGTGCTTAGAAAATTAATCTAATTCCTATTCCTCCACATTTACAAAATTGCAGATTAAAAAAATCTAGACACATACACACCCACATAGAAAATCTAAATGCTCAAGTGGAAGGTAAGTCCCTTCAGCATCCATTTTTCCTGTATTTCTGTATCCCTGAGCCTAGAACTGAGCCAGGTACAGAGGAGGCACTCAGTCTAGGTTAAATGTTGTCAAATAAGATCTTGTTGAGGTGTGATTCCACCTTGTTTACAGGGGACAATTATTTCAAAGTAATATGTTTTATTTGTTTTGAGCCATCTTACTGTCATAGACAAATATGTTTTCTCTTTAAGCAGCCAGTAAGAGCACATCTATGATACTAATAAAGCTGAGTTAATTCAGTCAACTCTATCTTGTACTTTCAGATCACAGCTGGTAATATAAGGCCTTTTTCAGCAGGAAGAACCCTTACAAATCACCTCACCGCCCTTCTCACCACCTCCCCAGTGTCCCTTCTTCACAGATAAAGGCCCAGGAAGGGGAGGGGACTCCTGTACCACACCTGGACTAGTTACTAGCAAAACTGGGGCCAAAAGCATGGCTAACCCAAAGCCTTCGTGCTGTCAGTCAAAGCCATTCCTAGAGATTTTATCCAATCCCCTTCCCTCCAATCTGTCCCCAGAGGAAGCCTAAGTCACAGCCTAACCTTGTCAATCACCTATGCAATAGATGACTTACTCTTGACTGAAGAATAAGACAACCTTGGAGAAATACCAGGAGCAAGTGGGCTGGAGAGGTCGCTGACCCCTGGCTGGCCCCAACCCCCGCCCCCAGCCTCTGATTGGCTAAAGGGAAAGCCTCGGGCCACGCCCCTCACCCACTAGGGTATTTCCATGAATGGGCTCTGGGACCAGCTCTCCCCAGCTTCCTGAAAACCCCCCTATGTCGCCCCTGCCCACCTACATGCCTTTCTACAGAAACTGGTTTGAACATGACCGTGGTCTACAAGGTCTTACATGACTTGACCCCTGTCCCCCCTCACCGAGCTCAACTTGTACCACCTTCCCCTTTCTCCGGCCACCGGGCCTTTTCTCTGTTCATAACGGGCAAGTGAGGGTGTTTTTCCCAGATATTCACATGCTCTCAGCCTTCTTGTCCACCTTTATCTCAGCTCAGTGTCAGCTCATCAGAAAGGCCTCCCAGCACCCACTCTAAAGCGGCCGCCTGTCCTGTCACTCGTCTCAGGTCACCCTATTTCTATCAGGGCCCTGTCGCTATCTGAAATGACTTTGTTGTTCCTGTGTACCGCCTGCCTCTGCACTGAGCTCCAAGGGGACATGGAGCTCTGTCTAATTCACCTCTAATCTCCGCGCCTGGCACAGTCCCTGGCACTAAATTGGAGCCCAGCAAGTATTTGTCATATGAATGAACAAGGGAATCTCACACACACACACACACACACACACACACACACACACACACGCCCTCCAGTGCCACAGGCCTGATGTGCAATAATGCGAGAATACCTTTGCTGACTGGCTGAAGAAGCAAATGGGTTCTCTGTGCAGGGAGCATTGCTGGAGGCGTTGGGGTCTATACTAATTTCCCTACAGAGAACACAAGTCAGCTACAGAACAAGCAAAGCCTGCCCACTTCAAGAGAGTAGCTATGATTCTTCCCAATTCTTACACTTTTAAAAAGGCCAAAACCCATGGATGAATTTCCAGGTAAAAAATACTTTGAGGCAACAGATCCTGGTTTCAGGATCTGAGATCCAATTAAGCATCAGCACCTCATTAGCCATGTGACCTCTGGTAAGTCGGTCTGAATCCTAGGCGTGTGACCCCTCCCATCCTCAATTTCCTCACCTGTAAAATGGGGATATTAACAGTTTGCATAAATAACTCATTATAAACACTCAACATGTTAACGGTTGTCTTAATTGTTGGGATTACCAATGGTATACATGCCTTACAAGGCTATATAACAAGTCCTCCTTGGTTTTGATTTGAAATTGTAACATCCTTTATAGCAGCGGTTCTCAACCTGTGGGTCGCGACCCCTTTGGCAGTCGAACGACCCTTTCACAGGGTTCGCCTAAGACCATCCTGCATATCAGATATTTACATTACGATTCATAACAGTAGCAACATTACAGTTATGAAGTAGCAACGAAAATAATTTTATGGTTGGGTCACAACATGAGGAATTGTATTTAAAGGGCCAGAAGGTTGAGAACCACTGCTTTATAGGGACCCACACCCAATTCCCCTGGAAACGTATTTGGCTCTTTGAGACCCCTTGCCTTTGTGTATGCCATGCCACTCCCTGGAATGTCCCCCTTGCTACCCAGCAAACATCTGTTTCTCCATCAAGATCCCTCTCAAGGGTAACCCCCACTCCCGCGCCCCTCTCAGTTAGTCAGTCAAGTGACATGGCCTATGAGTTACAACTCTCTTGAGTGGCAGCCATAGGAACCCCCCTGGGCGTCAGTGAGCGGAACAGGGATACTACATGAGGATGCTGAGTTCCCGCAGAACCCAGGGGCCTCAGAAACCACCTGGCGCCGAGGAAGGGAGACCTGTAGGGAGTTCTTTCTTCTTCCTCTTGGAGCCTCGGCTTCTACTTTTTCTCTTGCTGCAAACTGGCTTTCTGTTCCCCATGCCCATGACAGACAGCAGCTGTCATCCACACTTGAGAGCCCACATCTGTTCTCTTCCAGAGAGCAGCCGGGTGGAACGGAAATCTCCTGGCCCCGAGCCCAAGTGCCCGTCTTCTTCCTCCAATACGCTACTGCAATTGCCTGTGGCCTCCCATCCAAGCACTCACCCGGCCCCACCTTGCTTCACTTCCGAAATCAGATGAGATCGGGCGTGTTCAGAGTGGGGAGCTGTCAGGGGGACCCCTTTGTAAAGTAAATGATTGTCTGACCGCTGTGCTGATACAGAATGATGTTGACGGTAGACTGTAGTTGAAAATTAAATAAATAGTAAATGAGTATTTTTTAAAAGATTGCTTTTGGCAAGGTGCCCCAGGCGATTGCCTAATTGCCAAATCCAGAGGATGCTTTTCCTTTCCTAGCTGGCAGCATTTAACCCTCTGACCCCAGTGCCTTGAAACATTCTTCTACTTTGGTCTCCGGGACACCATGCTCTCCTGGCTCCCTCCAGGCCCTCCATGTTCCTTCCCTCTTGGTCTGCAGGTGGGACTCTTTTCACTCATCCTGGAAGCATTGGCGTTTCCCAGGGCTTGGGCCTCACTCCTTCTCTGCGCACTTTATTTTTTTTTTTTTTTTTTTAAACATATTTTATTGATTTTTTACAGAGAGGAAGGGAGAGGGATAGAGAGTTAGAAACATCGATGAGAGAGAAACATCGATCAGTTGCCTCCTGCACACCTCCCACTGAGGATAAGCCCGCAACCAAGGTACATGCCCTTGACCGGAATCGAACCTGGGACCCTTCAGTCCACAAGCCGACGCTCTATCCACTGAGCCAAACCGGTTAGGGCATTCTCTGCGCACTATAAAGTCTCATACATCCCATGGTTCTCCCACACCCTGTCTGGGTTTCTCCCAACTTTCAGGATATAGACAGACCTTTCTCCCTCACTGAGCTTGACTTGTGACTAGATACTTTGTTTTGTATGGCAGGGAGCTCGGAATGCACTCTCAGAGTTCCTATTAAGTTCTTGTAGGTTTTGTACCTTTGGTTGCCTGGACCTGTCACCAGTAGGATGTAAGGACTCAGTCATTACTGTTACCCGGATACGATCCTGGTCCCTTGGGAGGGTGGCTCTGACCTTAGCGAGCCCAACTCTGGCACCCCCAGATCAGGCCAGAGGGGTGGTAGCGGGGGAAGACGATGCGATGTGAGCTCTCTGGGTAAGCGCAGATGCAGTCAACAGAACCCATGGACCAGGGAAGGACCAAGACAGATTACTGGGGGAGGCAAGCCTTCCTTTCCACTGAGACTTTCCCAGTGTGCTGGGCCCCTCTCCCCGGGCCCCCGTCCTCTGATACCAGAAGGGCCTGTGCTGATACATGGAATTTAACTGTTACACAATCACCACCCCAGCAGCACCAGCAGCATAGACCCTGGCACCCCAATCTCAGCTCCGAGCAGGTCGGAATCGTGGCCGAGAGGGTGTGCTGGGCCGACTGGAAGGGCCGCCTACCTGAAATGACAGTGCGGCACCGCGGTGCTGTGATAAGGTTTAATGAGCATCTGAGCGGTCCCTACTTTTAGCAGACAGCGTCCGGGCAGAGGCCCCCAGCCCACTGCCCGTGGTCGTCCCCATCCCGCAGCGGGATGGACTTTCTCATGGGCACACACAGCACCTCATCGATGTAGATGGTGTTCTCTTTGATCTGGATCTGCTCCTGCAGGGCCAGCTGTCGGCGGTTCAGCCCTTTCAGCTCCATCTGAGCTTGGGCTAATGTTTCCTTTAATCTGGGAGAAGGGGAAGAACAGAAGGGAATCGTTTATCACTCCACACTGCTTTTCCAGGGGGTGTGGGGGAATGTATTTGTGTGCTCATCGCAGAAGCAGAATTGGCATGTCCTTCTCCGTGTCTCCTCCTGAAGACAGAGATTTCAGATTGGTGGCCACAGGCCAGATTCACAAGATAGACAGCTCCATGAGCTGCCAGCATTTAAAACTGTGCGTTTTACCTAAACATCTGGATTTGGACTTTCGAAAAATGCAAACGCTAGTATCCATTTCCTGCATGGCAGCAATTGGCTGCAGTTAACAAGGAACCCCTCACATATTATAGATGCAAAAGGGCTCGTGCCCGGCAGGCTTCCCCCACGATGGCATTGCCTAGCCTGGCTGTCCTCCAGAAAGGAACCCCTCGCATATTATAGATGCAAAAGGGCTCATGCCCGGCAGGCTTCCCCCACGATGGCATTGCCTAGCCCTGTTCACAGTCCGGGTTCACATGGAACCCCAGTGGCCCTCCCCCTCCCAGCCGCCAGCCTACCTTGCAATGTTGTGGGTGATCTCATGAACCTCCCTGATCAGCCTGTACTGGGCCATATCGCGACACAGCTCCACATTAGGCCGGCACGTCCTGGTCCCCAGGCGTGTATGAGCCACCTTGGCAGGCCCTTCTTGGTCCAGGATGGCTTTTTCAAGAAATTCAATGTTTTTCTCCTGGGAAGCAATCTCTTCCATGACCTTACAGAAAGGATTGGAGTGGGTGAGACCAGGTTGTGCTCCTCAAAACTCTATAGCAGACACTCTTAGGAGGTCTGTTGGGATCATGTAAGCTAGGAAGAGGGGACCCCGGATTTCTACCCAAGCAGGACCCCAGAATGAGTCTGATCTCTCTTCCCTACAGCAGGGATTGCTGGTGAGCAAGGCAACTCACCCAACCTTAGAACCTCGTAGGTGGAGTGGGCATGACTGGCATTGCTCCCGCATCTCCTTCCCAAATGATGGGAATTCCCTGGAGAATGCCCTCAGTAAAGGCTGGAGGCTGCCTGTTCACCTGGGTAGTAAGTACCGTGTATGCTGAGTAGATGGCCGCCTATTTCCATCAACCCACCCACTAGCACCCATTCTGCTCCCTAGCAGCCTGAAGTGTGAGCAGTTCAATACTGAGTTTTGCTGATTTCTTTGAAGGTGGCTTTGTGCACAGAAAAAGATGACTTAGACGTTACTTGGGTTTTTAGATTAATATTTAACTAGCTTAAATTTTTGTTTCTTTCTTAAACTTAAAGAAAATCTTTACATCATAGAATTTTCTAAACATACACAAAAGTAGCTGATATAATGAACCCCAGGTACTCATCAATTTAATCAATGATCGATACATGGCCAATCTTGTTTCATCTATAACCCCCTCTCTCCACCCCTGCCCATCAGCTTATTTCAAAGCAAATCTCAGATATTATATCATTCCAGTCTTAAATACCTGAGTATGTATTTCTAAGATATAAGGATGTTTTTATTGTCTTTTAACATAATGATAGTACCTTTTTCTCTCTCACAAACACACTCAGATTTCCCTGATTGTCTGTTGGTTTATTCAAATTAGAATGCAAATAAGGTCCACACATTGCATTTTGTTTTCTTGAGCCTTAACATTTCTTAAGGTTTTCTTAAGTTCAGCCCTCAGAGAGTATACTATTTTTAAATTTAGCAAATGTTAACAATCACTTTAAATTGACTTTGACTAATAGTTGCTCCAACTTCAAGCCTCGTTAAAATCCTCCAAACACTTATTTAAAGCAGCATTTGTAAATTTGATATATAACATATCGTTTTTATAAATTTGATATAAAACTTTTAAAAACTACCTGAGTCGTCTTAGCAGACAAGGCTTTCTGCAGTTCTTAAAAGACCTCGTTAATCTAGTAAACTAGTAAAAATGATTACTCTTAAATTCTCAAATACTTTAACACTGTCTTCAAACTTAAAATTTCAACTAAAATCATAAGGCTAAATTACTTAATTACAAATTTTGTTATGATATCTTTAAAACAGGCCAAATTTTCTTAAGTTTTACAAATACTTAAAATATACCAAGTGCACAGATTCCTTCAAACAAAACTACTAATACTATGGGTTAGATCAGGAGTCAGCAAACTGCAGCTTAGGGGCCAAATGCCGTCTGGTTTGGTACAGACTGAAATAGGAATGTTTTTTAAATTAATGGACTTTAGTTTTTTGTTTGTTTTAATCTTCACCTAAGGATATGTTTTTGTTTAGAGAGAGAGGAAGAGAGAAAGAGAGAAATATCAATCGGTTGCCTCCCTTACGGGGATCGGAATCCACAACCTCTGTATGTGCTCTGACTGGAAATAGAATCTGCTCCCTTTTGGTGTGCCGGACGAGGCTCCACACAACGAGCCACCTGGCCAGGGCTGTGGACTTTCGTTTTTAAAACTATATTTTATTGATTTTTTACAGAGAGGAAGGGAGAGGGATAGAGAGTCAGAAACATCAATGAGAGAGAAACATCAATCAGCTGCCTCCTGCACACCCCCTACTGGGGATGTGCCTGCAACCAAGGTACATGCCCTTGACCAGAATCGAACCCGGGACCCTTGAGTCTGCAGGCTGACGCTCTATCCACTGAGCCAAACCGGTGCTGGCGCTATGATATTTTTAAAACAGGCCAAATTTTCTTAAGTTTTACAAATACTTAAAATATACTAAGTGCACAGATTCCTTCAAACAAAACTACTAATACTATGGGTTAGATCAGGAGTCAGCAAACTGCAGCCTAGGGGCCAAATGCAGTCTGGTTTGGTACAGACTGTTTTTGTATAGACTGAAATAGGAATGTTTTTTAAATTAATGGACTTTAGTTTTTTTGTTTGTTTTAATCTTCACCTAAGGATATGTTTTTGTTTAGAGAGAGAGGAAGAGAGAAAGAGAGAAATATCAATCGGTTGCCTCCCTTACGGGGATCGAATCCACAACCTCTGTATGTGCTCTGACTGGAAATAGAATCTGCTCCCTTTTGGTGTGCCGGACGAGGCTCCACACAACGAGCCACCTGGCCAGGGCTGTGGACTTTCGTTTTTAAAACTATATTTTATTGATTTTTTACAGAGAGGAAGGGAGAGGGATAGAGAGTCAGAAACATCAATGAGAGAGAAACATCAATCAGCTGCCTCCTGCACACCCCCTACTGGGGATGTGCCTGCAACCAAGGTACATGCCCTTGACCAGAATCGAACCCGGGACCCTTGAGTCTGCAGGCTGACGCTCTATCCACTGAGCCAAACCGGCTAGGGCTGGACTTTAGTTTTTAGAGCAGTTTTAGACTTTCGGCAAAATGGAACAGGAAGTATAGAGTTCCCATATACCCTCTCTCCCCCAACACAGATTCCCCTGTTATGAGCATCTTCCATTAATGTGGTACATTTGTTACAACTAAGGAACCAATATTGTATACATTATTATTAATTAAAGTTCATAGTTTACATTACGGTTCAATCTTTGTGTTGCCCATTCTATGGATTTTAACAAATGTATGCCATGTATCCCCCGTTACCGTATCATACCGAGTAGGTTTCATTGCCCTAACAAATCCCTGTGCTCCTCCTTTTCATCCCTCCTCCCCGCCCCACCCCCATCTGGAGCCCTGACAACCAGAGCCTTTTTACTGTAGTTGGAATCATACAGTATGACTCATGCAGTATGAATTTCAGGTTGGCTTCTTTCATTTAGCGATACCCATGTACGTTTTCTCCATGTCCTTTTGTGGCTTGATAGCTCATTTCTTTTTATCACTGAATAATATTCCATTGTATGGATGTAGCACAGTTTGTTTACCCATTCATCTATCAAAGGACATCTGGTTGCTCCCAAGCTTTGGCAATTATGAATAAAGCTGCTCAGCACGCATATGCAGATTTTTGTGCAGACCTAAGTTTTCAAGCCATTTGGGTAAATACCAAGGAGTGAGCTTGCTGAATCACATGCGTCTGTTTGGTTTTGCAAGGAACTGCCAAACTGTCTTCCCAAGTGGCTGCACCATTTGGCACTCCCGCCAACAGTGAGCGTGCCTACTGCTCCACACCCTCGCCGGCGCTTGGCATTGTCAGTGTTTTGGATGTTCTGTGGGTGTGTAGTGGCATCCCGTTGCTTTAATTTGCAATCCCTGAGGACATAGGCTGTTGAGCCTCTTTTCATATCTTCATTACCATCTGCCTATCTTCTCTGGGGAGGTGCCTGCTTCCATCTTTTGTCTGTTTTTCTATTGGGCTGTTTGTTTTCTTATTGTTGAGTTTCAAGAGTTCTTCCTCTATTTTTGGATAACAGTGCTTTATCTGTGGCTTGTCTTTTTTAGTCTCCTTTTTTTTTTAAAAAAAAAAAGGGGGGTGGGGGGTACATTTTTTTTTATTGTCTAAAGTTTTACATATGTCTCCTTGTTCCCCAATTGACTCCCCCACCCCCAGCCATTCCCACCCCGGGCAAGCCCCCACCGCCCCTTGGTTATGCTAATATGCATGCATACAAGTCCTTTGGTTGCTCTCTAAAGGGGGGGGAGGAGTACATTTTTAAATAGCTGGAAAATCAAAAGAAAAATAATATTTCATGTCATCTTAAAATTACATAAAATTCAAATATTGGTGTCCATAATGAAGTTTTATTGGAGCACAGCCATGCTCATTCATCTATATGGCTGCTTTTAAACTACAATGTCCGGGTTAAGAAGTTGCGACAAAATGTATGTTACACTCTCAGTGCTTTGCACTGCTGTCCAGATGACACGGTTATAACGACAGCTTCCCAAATGCTACGTGTATCACCAGGCAGTTTTTAGCACCAGCACATACCCATCATGTCAAAACAAGGAAACCAGGCTTCCTGCGGTGCACTTTAAGGCCTAGTGAAGTGTAGATTTTGTTCCTTAGACAGCAAAGCGCTGTGTTTATCATGCAGTGACGCTCCAGCTGTGCTGAAAGAATACGGCATGCGTCATTACCAGGCCGCGCACCATCCTGACAGCCTCAACTCACAGGAAAGCAATGATCAGAAAAATTAGACATTTAAAACAGAATATCTCATCACTGCAGAATCTCTTCGCAAAAATGAAAAGGAGGCTGCAATCAAGTCAGGTTCCAAGTGTCTCGTTTGCAGCCAAGCACGGAAAACCATTTACTGATAACAGATTAATTAAAACATGTTGGTTGCCGCTGAGAAAGGGTGTCCAGAGAACATACAGTTGTGTGTTAGTCTTTCTGCAAAAACAGCTGCTTGACGAGTTCAGGACCCTGGGAACAGCATCAACAGCCAATGAAAAGCAGGGCGCACGATGCGGGGTGGTCTCCTTGCTCTTCGCCAGCTGGCAGGGGTCCTGATGCTGCTCGGGTGTTTATTCCAGGAATCAGTGCTGAGTTTGAAGGGACTGAAGGGCCAGCCTCCACGAAATAACTAGAGGCAGGGACATTTCCAGAAAGTTGAGAAAACACTAATTCAACACAACCCGAGGTGGAATCTGCTAAGAAGTGTTGTAGCTGAGGGTGGTACACATGTGTGTGGAGCAGAAGCGGCTTAATTGAACACATTCACAGAAGTGGAGGAAATGTGAGCTCTTTGCAGCTCTAATTATTATTCACCAGAAAAGTACTTCGCAGAAAAGATCTGAATCCATCAAGTGTCACTGAACCCGTATCATCAGCCGTGGACTTCATGAGCTCTCATCATCAGTTCTGTGAATTTCTGCCAGAAACAGAAGCTGAATATCCTGACTTGCCCTTCTCCTCAGCAATCGAATGGCTTATCAGTGGTGAAATTTTCTTGTGATTTATTTTGAGCTCAGGGCCATGGTTGAAACTTTTCTGAACAAGAACCACTCCCTTCCCCCACGAAACTACTACTTTAAAACACTGAATAGGGCCCTGGCCGGTGTGCTCAATGGTTAGAGCATCGGTTCTCAACCTGTGGGTCTCGACCCCTTTGGCGGTCGAACGACCCTTTCACAGGGGTCGCCTAAGACCATCCTGCATATCAGATATTTACATTACGATTCATAACAGTAGCAACATTACAGTTATGAAGTAGCAACGAAAATAATTTTATGGTTGGGTCACAACATGAGGAACTGTATTTAAAGGGCCAGAAGGTTGAGAACCACTACTCTAAAACAAAAAACTACTTTCAAAGGGGCAGATAATAGTTCTGGAAAAAATACATTTAAATATATTTTAAATATAAATATATAATTTCAATAATATGTTCTAGATATAATTGATATATAATTCCCTATGAAAATTTGACAAACTTTAAAGGGAATAACATTAAAATTTCTCTCTGATACAGCAGAGCCACTCCAGCAGGTCACCAATAAGTAGAAAAGCCAGCTAGAGGTCAAGAAAGATAGTTGAGGGAGAAAAAACAAGTCTAGCGAAAATGCTACAGTTCCAAGGCTACAGCTCCCTAGCCAGGGTCCACGTCCATCCCATATGGTTGTACAGGTTTTGCTTAAGGACACTCAGCTGTGGAGAGCATATGTGGAGCTAAAATCCACGTTTGTTCCGTGTGAGGCAATTGATCAATGTTTCTCTCTCACATAGATGTTTCTTTCTCTCTCTCCCTCTCCCTTCCTCTCTGGAATCAATGAAAAAAAAATGTCCTTGGGTGAGGATTAAAAAATAATAATTAATAGCCCTAACTGGTTTGGCTCAGTGGTTCTCAACCTTCCTAACGCCGCGACCCTTTAATACAGTTCCTCATGTTGTCGTGACCCCCAATTTCATTGTTACAAATTGAACATAATTAAAGCATAGTGATTAATCACAAAAACAATATGTAATTATATATGTGTTTTCCAATGGTCTTAGGCGACCCCTGTGAAAGGGTC